TACGTCTTATTAATTCGAACTACATTTAGTACACATATTTATAGACTGACAGAGGCCTAGAACATTCTACAAACCAGGAGATATAATGATGTAATAATACTAAATTGAAACAATTAGAAAAATTTCAAAGTTTCTAGTAACATGATGCAATAATACAAGTGCCAGTTCACAATAGTTGAACTACACAATGTATGATTCATATGTAGTTATTTAAACAAACTTGTGATAAATTATCACTTCTAAAAATAACTGAATTTAACACTCGCACTATATAAACCATCTGGATCATAACACTCATATTAACAGTTGTGCATGTCTAACAATGAAGTTTTGCATGATCTCGTGCATGCTCTATTTGAGCCATTGACTTCCTGGCTTTGTACCATCCCTCTCTCCTGACTAGTTTCCTCCTACTTCTTTTCTACAATTACTGTTGTCTCTCCTTTAGATGCTTCTTGCACCCTCTTTCACTGCACTTATCTTTTCCTCTCACTGAACTGATCCTTTCTTCCTTGGACTTCAACCACTTGGGAGGTACACCTTCTTTGCTATCTCCCTTCCTTCTGCCTCTTGCCTATTCACACCTTGCTTGACTCATGTTGGGCTGTTTGGTGTGCCTTATCATGTACCTCTCCCCATAGGAATCCCTGCCTTTGTTATCATGGGACCTCTCTTCATTTACAGGATGGGTCCATCATCCCCCTCCATTGACATGTTCATCTCAGACTATTTCCATTTTCATTGTACTTGATTCATCACCTCTTACATCTCTTCTTCGATGGCCCTTGGATGAGCTCCTCCATGTGGGCATGTGGACTCTCTCCATGCATTAATCTCCTTCTCTATACCTTCTGGCTTTTTTATCACCTGATGATTTTTAGCTTCCACAGGTTACCATTCTTCAATTACCCCACTGTCTTCTGAGAGTAATACATACTATTTCTCTTTCAGAGCCCCTCTTTCATAACGTAGGATCTCATCAGGTGAGCCTCCCAAAATTTGCATTGAGCCAGAATAACAGAAAGCACTCATACTATCTGTTGTGGTTCTACATGTGCTCACTGTGAGATGGAGTGTTCTGCAAAACCACATGAGGTGTCCTTGTAGCATATATATCTATATTCACTCTAATGTCCAATCCAGACCATACCTGTTCCATGAACTATCATGGAAAAAGCCAGCACCAGAGAGTTGTTCTGCCAAATTCTCTGGCTTGTCTTTGTTGGCCTTTAAAAATAGGGATTTGCAGTAACCCATTGCACTATTTCAGTAAAAGACCTTTCCAGACTGAAGGACCAATAAGGATCTGAGCACCTTCTCTAGGTCTCCCCCCCCTTCACCAAATGGAACTCAAACACTGAAGCTAGAACAAGGTGTACCAATATGGTGAGATGTGGGACAGTGGTGACATTGTGAGTGGAATGTGGGCAACCACTCCATATAAATTAGATACAACACTTATGCCTTCCTCCAGTAAAGTTGAGGTGAGCACCATTAAATGACTGTGCCCTCTTCCTGCAGCCTGAGTCTGTTCAGTAGAATTGAGGTGAGCACACACGAAGTGACTGTGCTCTCCTCTGGCAGCCAGTCTGTTGAAAAGAGTTGAGGTGAACATGAAATAAATATGGACCAATACTACATAATACAGTGCTCTTCTTCTGCATTTAGAATCTATTCCATACTATTTTTTCAGTTGAGTTGAGGTGAGCACTTGCTTTACAATACCAATATATGAATCTATCTCACATCTTCTCCTGCAGCCTATGTCTGTTCAGTAGAGTCAAGGTGACCACACTCTGTACTGATCCTTACTTCGTGACTGATATGTCCTCGTCCTGCAGCTGGAGCCTATCCCATAGAGTCTGACAGTAGAGTTGTGGTGAGTACAAATACTTATGACATGTGCCCTCCTCCCACAACTGGTGTCAGTCTCATAGAGTCTGATGGTAGATTTGAGGTAAGCACACAAGGTACAGTCTGAACATGCCCCAATCATACTTACAAATATTGGCTGTCCAACAATTTGTGTACAAGTACTTGGACAGTCATGTTCTAATTCTCCCTGTGACACAAATTTTACTTCTGTGCCTCATTCTATATAAGCAAAGAGTATGGCCTGGATGAAATGAGTTGTGGTTTCACATGGGTGTGCCTCTGCCTTTGGATGTAACACCCCATGGGCATTCTTCAGATACTTTTTTGAAGGGTGCTCATCTAGGTACATTTTTCATTGGTACCTTCACCGTATCAGAGTGGGATTCTAGCTTATCTGTGTGAGAGGTGAGTTATCATCTCGGAAGTTAACATTTTCCTTACCCGAAAATATATTTCTGATAGATAATCACCTCTATACACATTCCCACCCATCCTCCCCACTTTTGGTGCATGATCTTGTACTTAACTCATCAAAGAATGAAGATTCATGAGTGCAAATGCATGAGGGGAGTTAGTGCACATGGAGATGCATCATCTTCCTATTATTGGAGAGCTTTGTAACACGATGATATCGTCATACAGTGGCACAATACACATAAAATTAGGTGGGAATTTCCTCAAGGCTAGTGGCATGCAAACCTCTTTGGCAGATGCATTGAGGAAGATAGCAAATTTGTGTGATGAGGTGAATATCTATTGGAAGTATATATATTGAAAAGGAAAACATCAACTTTAATTCCTTCACAGCGTGGTCACAAGTAAATAGACACCACCTTTTCAGAAAAAATGAAATTTTTCAGTCATATTCACATGAATTGATATAT